CTTTCTATTGGTTATAGGTAATATATAATGAAATGTGAGAGAGAACTATCAACAAATTGTGAAAGAGAGGATGTGACAGGTGGGTGTGGCAAGAGGGGTCTGATTTTCTATTCGATAGCTCTGTAACCAAACAAAATTGAAGGCTATAAAAATTATGAACTGTTTGAGCAATAAGTATTTTATAGAGAGTATTTTACGTTTATTTTCATAATTTGTTTTGGGGGGTGGGTGAAGAAAATAGGGAAGAAAAGTTAATGGGCGTCTAGTGTTGCTGTGGTCTTTCAGCTGGTGGTTGTGGCTGCTTTGACGAGACATCACTCTTCAAACCTTAACCCCACCAGCAGTGCGTCTAGTGTTGCTGTGGTCTTTCAGCTGGTGGTTGTGGCTGCTTTGACGAGACATCAAAGATTATTCAAAGTAAATTCCTCAAAATGTTGAATGTTTTGCATCAGAAAATTTACTTAAAGTAAGGAGTAGCAACTGCCTTTCAATTACATGATTGTCCTAACTAGTGATAAAAAGTAGAAAAATGTGAAGGGGATAAAATAAAGAAATTAGACTTTTGGAGATAACTCACCTTTAAAAACTAAATAAATTACTACTATAGTTTTTAAAGGTGAGTTATCTCTTTAAGTCTAATTTTTAACTAATGATAGTAGAGTAGCAGTAGTAGATGTAGTTCATACATTCTGCTGGTGCTTCTTACCTGATTGCTTGGAAAGCAAGGGTTCATAATGTATTTTGATCATTAGGTGCGCGATTCAACAATCGACCTAGTTAAAGCAATTGTTCAGTCCCCTCAGCAACTCTAGAAATAGACCAACAATATCAAGTGCTATTATCTGAAGAGGAGACTTATTAGTTCACTGTTGGAATTTGCCATGCCTCAGATAGTTTTTCTTTTGGGCTGAACGCACAGTATAGTGCTCACTCTGGCAGCTAACACCTCAACTCACTCATAGCCAAAAGAGCTGCTGTTGAATGTCAATACATGTGCAAATCATACCTGGATGCCCTCCAGTCTTAGTGTTGTGTAGTATCTAGAGCATCTCTTCTCTTAAAGGTCAGAGGACCATTAGTAGCAGCACTGTCAGAGCACTATATTTCTTGGGGTACAAGACACACCTTGCACTTGTAATTGGTCATACATGTGCCACAGGTTACATCTACATATACATCTGTATATGTACTGTGCTCCTCTACCAGTGCTGGTTGGGCTGGGCCTTGCTGGATTAGGATCCTTCATTTGCTTATCCCATAGCTTTTTAAATATGAACTTCAGCATCTATCCTTCAGTGGAGTCAGTTATCTTATGGTAGGCATTCACTATAGCTGAAAAAGCCATGGTTTCAATTCCTACACATGGTGTCCAGGATCAGGACACCCTATGAATGGACAGGGTCTCACCATTTGGCAAGATAGCCCATTTGCATTTTTGTGTTGTGGGCCCCAGGTGATGAACTATGACAGATCTAGCAATGCTGTGATCCAGCGTGCTATTGTCTTCTATTTGTTGTTAGAGTTTAGTAAACATTTTAGTGAAGCATAATTCACTGATGGTGAACTTTCTACCATACATGTAGTGGTGTGCTTGACAAAGAGAACAGCCAACAGCTTTTTTTTTGTCATGCAGTATCTGCATTCACGAGCATACAACTAGCATATGCAATTACATGTTCCACTTCATCCTGAAACTGCATTAACACTGCTCCAACTACATTATCGCTGATGTCAGTGTTCAGTAAAAACTCTCAATCCTGACAGGGATGAGTCAGCACTGGAGCCTCCACTAAAGAAAACTTTAAGGATCAGAATGCTTGCTCACACTCCTTACTCCATCCAAAGTACATTTCCACTTCCAGGAAAGCTGACAGGGATGTTGCTGTCTCCAAGAACTTAGCAACAAATTGTTGGTTGTAGGATGTAAAATCAAGGAAACTACAAA